CAATGGAATATAAGCTTATTATATTTGTGCAATCATTAATTTCAAATCTATTTATAATAAAAAAATATTGTCCTATATATAGTATGACTACATTAAATCATTATATAATTGAACAGACGGTGGAACATTGTCATATACTGCTAACAGTAACACGTTGTATATGTCCAATACACGAACTAATATTATTGTCGTAAACTATTTACATAATTACACATTTTACATTCTGTGAGCAACATGACGGATGTCACTATTGTAGCAGGAAATGCTTGTCCTGGTATTTTGGCGGGATTCGTGATGCTCAATATTTAGTTTTCTGTATAAAGTTTTTGTGGAATTTGTTGGCCATTTTTTCTTTTGGTCATGGTCAGTTTTTCTTCCTCGTATTGTTTTTTGTGCCCTTGGTATCTTCTGTCTATTTTTTTAACGATTAAGATTCGTAAATCACCAGAAGCCTTTAATTAATTCATTGCCGCGTCAACAACAAACTGAATACTGGTGTCCCTAAAATACATGCTATTGTAATTGCTGTTTTTGCCGTAGATCTTTATACACCACCGTTGCTTTAATTTGTCTTAAATAGGAGTTTAAAGTTACGACAAAAGTAAAGACATATCTTATTTCAATGCAGTTCGTTTTTGAACTATTTAAAGCAGGACACATATTTTAGAATAGACTTAAAAGTCCGACATTTTTATTTAAAGAGCCTTGTGAAACAAGCCAAATATCATTGATAATAGTAATAATGAGAATGATAATTTATTTAGTATTCAACCTAGTTACCCAGTTCTGTCTATATAATATAAAAATAAGAGGATGTGGTATATTTGCCATTTAGATAACTCTACACCAAAGACCAAATGACATAGAAGTTAACAACTATAGGTCACCGTACGGCCTTCAACGATGAGCAAAACCCATACCGCATATATAGTCAGCTATAAAAGGCCCCGAAATGAAAAACGTAAAACAATTCAAACGAGAAAAGTAACGGCCTGATTTATGTACAAAACGACAAGCAAAAAACAATTTATAAGTTCACATTACCGACAAAATATACCGTGAAACCTCACCTAGCTATAAACCTCCACGTAGATAAAGGAAAGAGTACTTGTTTTGAGAACTGGAAACTGAAATGACAGCAAATAAAATAGCAGAGGTGTTTATCAAATACTGAAGCTTTCTGAATGTAATGGTGGTTTACGAAGTTTGGCCAGACGACACAGATTAGATAAATATCATTTAAGATTGGACAATAATTAAAAGTGTATATTTTATAAAGAACACTTAACACTTATAATATGTGTGATTAATTTGAATGAATGAATATTTGATTTTGTAAACTGTTGCTTAGAAGTCTTTATCAAATATAAACGGTAATAACTGTCCATTTCTTAGATTTAGATATTTCAGTTTTACACGGGAAACTACACTAAAATTTACGATAAAAAGGGTGATGTTCCTTTTGGCACCATCTTACGGTGTTTATATACCACAACTAGTTCGCTATGCCCGTGTCTTTTGTGACGTTTTGAATTTTAATGAATGTAATCTATGTATTACTGGTAAATTATTAAGTCAGGGATTTCGTTACCACAAATTACTTAAAACCTTTACTAAATTTTTCCATAGATATAAAGATTTGGTTTTGAAGTTGGTAGAAAACTTATTTCAAACGGGATAGCACATTCTCATTTTTACGGAGATGTTGTTTTCCGAGCCCGGAAATTTAAAAACGATCCGGGTAAACTTATCGATCCTTTAAATAAACTTATTCGAAAAGGTTACCAATTCAACACTGTAATTAGATCTTTGAATATTGTTTTTATTGGTATTGATATTGATTTTGTTATCATTAAATTAAAATCAAACTAAATATTATTGTTATATACATATGCACATGCATAGCTCTACACTCTGTCGATACCAGTATCTTGGCATTGCACAAGGTCGTTTTTTTCTCTGACTGTTCATGACGTCTTTACACTACATCCATTTGGATGTTGGGTGTGTACTGATTGATAATTTAGTCTTAGATGTATGATTTTTTTTTATTAGTTGTTATTGGCTTTGAGCTAGCTGTCAGTAACTGCGAGTACTCTCAGATCTGTGCTAAGTGTCTTTTTGTTGTTGGGATGTACAAGTACCCGTCCATGTCAACTTTGTGTTTTTGTTAAATGTATTGTTTAGCCTTTTTCAAATGATTTTTATAGTTTGTTCTTATGTTGTACTGTTACACCACTGTCCCAGGTTAGGGGAGGGTTGGCGCCTTCAAACTAGTTTAACTCCGCCACATTCTGTATATGCCTGTCCCAAGTCAGGAACATGTAATTCAGTGGTTGTCGTTTGTTGCTTCATTATTTTGTACATACATTAGGCCGTTAGTTTTCTCGTTTGAATTGTTTTACATTTGACATTTCAGGGCCTGTTATAGCTGACCATGCGGTATGGGCTTTGTTCATTGTTGAAGGCCGTACGGTGACCTATAGTTGTTAATTTGTGTGGCATTTGGTCTATTGTGGAGGGTTGTCTCATTGGCAATCATACCACATCTTCTTTTTTATATTCTCCATGTATATTGAACTGTAAACGGTCTCCCGTTTAAAGCAGCCAAAGTGTCAATTATAGACTTAACAGACTTTAGTGTTACCCAAGAATTAACGGGGTTATAATATATACAGCATATTATCGCTCTTAAAACTATCTTGAACACCAATTTTTGCTTGGAAACCCTGACATAAATCCTGCTGGTTTTAGTTAATTCAAACAAATAGCCTTCATCTTGGATAAAGTGAGATGACATAGAGAAACTTTCCTTTGTCAATCAGGTCTTGGTTTCATTCAAAGAGAGCCGGAATATACTAAAGTCAAACTCATGAAACACAACATAGAAAATCAATATCTATGTCAAACTTTCAGGGAATTTTATTAAACTTGAACAGAAGCTTCTTCATTATTGAGCGATATATTTTTTAGAGGAACATTTTGAAACATTTTTTTTTATTTTCCCGTATTTTACTTATAAATGGACTTAGGTTTGTTTGTAATACATGAATATGATGACACGAATCACAAAAATATCACGGCTGGCTAGTTTATCAAGGTCACACCAATCACCAAAATCCAACATCTACAAAAAAAAACAGACGTACAAACAAATTCAAACATTTACGAACAATTCATTATCCAGATAACCTTATTTGGTACAGGCACAACATGTGGCGGGGTTAAACTAGTAGTTAACATCTAGATAAAGTCTGGGGCTTGAATTTTTATTCATCGTTAACTTTGTCAAAAATTCGTTCAATTTTTATGAACATTTCATCATGAAAAATAGTTTCTAGATAAAATTGTTTAAAAGTGACTAAGAAGTAAAATCTGAAGAAAAAATCTAAAATATATTTTCGTTTCCATTTTCCGTTTTTTCTTATAAATGGACTTAGATTTTTACAATTAGCATTTAGATACAGTCCAGTGTTAAGAGCTTTACCTAGGTAGTAATTCATTATAGACATTTTTCCTACCAGTTTCCTCTTAGGTTGTGCTATATCATTGGCTCATATTCCTTTTTTATGTGTTCTGTCATTAATGTGAAAATGTATTTCAGGTGACATATTCTTCGTTTTGTTTCATTTGAGTTAGTTTTTACTATATGATTTCACAGGAGCTGACTGATTGACATGGGTGGCTTTTGAATATGTGTTTTGCGTTTGTCTAGACTATTTTTTTTAACGACGTAAGGGAATTAACACATTCTTCTCTTTCCTTTAATATAAGTACTAAAAATGATTCATGAGGAAGGACCAATTTCCCCTGAACTTATTTCACATCAAGGCTATTTTCAAAACGTATTGCAATCCTCATAGTTAATTTAACATTATCACAACTCAATATGTGTACTTAAAATTTTTTAAACAGTAGTATTGCTTATTTCTATACAAATCACCTAATTGTAATCGCTAGAAGATAGTCCAAATCCGCAGTGTTGACCTATTTTGACCATTTTGAGTATTTATCCAAAAAATATAGGACTTCGTTTACCAAATCTAAAGTTATTTTGGAAACAGAACTATTTAGTGTCTTCCAGATACAAAATGTGGAGAAATTTTTTTTAATTTTAAAACGATTTTCTTGATTACATGTGTAAATACAACTGTTTTGACAGGAGACAGATTTGTAAAAGTAACTTTGCTTGTTTTTGAATCTTAGATATCTATTTCAAGTGTATTATATTGTAATGTAAAAATTCATCTAAATACATATTGTTTAAACTAAATAAAACTGTATTTTACTAACGAATACAAGTTTTTTATGACAGTATTTTCATTTTACCTTTTTATCAAGCAAATTGAGTATTTTAAGCAACTTGCAACCCAAGGTTCAATAAATTAAGAAAAAGATCGTCCTTATGAATGACTGCAAAATTCAACCCATTGAAAATCAATCAATTATTCTATATCTTGCTGTAAGTTATCATAGCTATGACATATTCTTCAATTTGTTAACGGTGGTCACTATATGGTAGAAGGTAGGAGTCGATAAATAAGTATACAATAAAATGAGACACGATTTAATTGTCAAATTAATGTTTGTTTCATTAGTTTAACGGTAAAATAATTTAAATTCGTTTTAAATGTATCTGTCTTTACCATTGACATATAAGCACTGTTTTTGACTTCAGATTTAAAATGCTACTAAACTTATACTATACATAAACACATGATTCACATTTACAAATACCCAAGAGCGAAACTGTTCAAAAACTTTAAGGAACATTGTTGACATTAAGTTTTGATTTGAATGTTATTACTTAGAATTAGTATTGTACACAACAATACAGATACATAATATACAATATTTTTATTAGATTTAAACAACATACAGTCCTTTTGTGTGATTTTAAAAATCCGTCTAATTCTTTAACAGCGATATTGACTCTACGGCTTTGTTTAAAAGATCTTAACAGAAATCAAAACTTACTAAAAGTTTGAATATTTGAAATACAAGTAGAAATGCAGAAGAAAAACATCATCTATGCATTGACAGTACTTTTCATTATATTAGTTTTTTTTGTTTTCCGGGAATTACCTATCAAAGTAGAGACTGTACCAGCTACTGTAAGGTAAGACATGACATTTATACATATAATAACAGGATAGAGTAGAAACATGGATTTATAGTATTCAATGTATTTTACTATAAGGCTTTCATTTATTGTTAAAAAAAAGAGAGAAATAAGACATACAAAAATAATTCATTATAAAACAAACTTGTAACGACATTTAAAATTGACAATATTTTTCACTTATTACTGAATTACCTTTTTTCAGTATATCGAATATTTGTAAACTTAGTAAAAAGGACATTTAAAATGCCATATAATAAAAATACAGATCCGGTGTTCAAAGCTTGGTTTAGAATCTTGTATGTTAAGCTTGGTCTAGAATCTTGTAGGTTGCAGATCCTGTGTTCAAGTTTGGTTTAGAATCTTGTATGTTAAGCTTGGTTTAGAATCTTGTAGGTTGCAGATCCTGTGTTCAAGCTTGGTTTAGAATCTTGTAGGTTAATCTTGGTCTAGAATCTTGTAGGTTGCAGATCCTGTGTTCAAGCTTGGTTTAGAATCTTGTATGTTAAGCTTGGTTTAGAATCTTGTAGGTTAAGCTTGGTTTAGAATCTTGTAGGTTACATATCCTGTGTTCAAGCTTGGTTTAGAATCTTGTAGGTTGCAGATCCTGTGTTCAAGCTTGGTTTAAAATCTTGTAGGTTAAGCTTGGTCTAGAATCTTGTAGGTTGCAGATCCTGTGTTCAAGCTTGGTTTAGAATCTTGTATGTTAAGCTTGGTCTAGAATCTTGTAGGTTGCAGATCCTGTGTTCAAGCTGGGTTTAGAATCTTGTAGGTTAAGCTTGGTTTAGAATCTTGTAGGTTAAGCTTGGTTTATAATCTTGTAGGTTGCAGATCCTGTGTTCAAGCTTGGTTTAGAATCTTGTATGTTAAGCTTGGTCTAGAATCTTGTAGGTTGCAGATCCTGTGTTCAAGCTGGGTTTAGAATCTTGTAGGTTAAGCTTGGTTTAGAATCTTGTAGGTTAAGCTTGGTTTAGAATCTTGTAGGTTGCAGATCCTGTGTTCAAGCTGGGTTTAGAATCTTGTATGTTAAGCTTGGTCTAGAATCTTGTAGGTTGCAGATCCTGTGTTCAAGCTGGGTTTAGAATCTTGTAGGTTAAGCTTGGTTTATAATCTTGTAGGTTGCAGATCCTGTGTTCAAGCTTGGTTTAGAATCTTGTATGTTAAGCTTGGTCTAGAATCTTGTAGGTTACAGATCCTGTGTTCAAGATTGGTTTAGAATCTTGTAGGTTACAGATCCTGTGTTCAAGCTTGGTTTTAGAATCTTGTAGGTTACAGATCCTGTGTTCAAGCTTGGTTTAGAATCTTGTAGGTTAAGCTTGGTTTAGAATCTTATAGGTTACAGATCCTGTGTTCAAGCTTGGTTTAGAATCTTGTAGGTTAAGCTTGGTTTAGAATCTTATAGGTTACAGAACCTGTGTTCAAGCTTGGTTTAGAATCTTGTAGATTACAGATCCTGTGTTCAAGCTTGATTTAGAATCTTGTAGGTTAATCTTGGTTTAGAATCTTGTAGGTTAAGCTTGGTTTAGAATCTTGTAGGTTAAGCTTAAACACAGGATGTGTATTTCAATTAGAATGAAATGAAAACTATTAAATTGGTGCAGTAAAATTGGTACCGTTAATGGTATTAAATGTTGACTGTGTGTTATATGTACAATGATGTAGTTCTGTCATTTAAAGCGCGTATGTGTACATGTATATGTTTATTTTGTTAAGTAAACCTGTCTTCAGTCATTTGCTGCTCTAAAATATTAAACTTTAACAGTCTTCCCAGGATAACATGGATAAACTCCAAACCAGACACAGAACGTTTTGCCCAGACACAGGTTCATATACGTAATGATACAGGGGTAACACTTGTATGTCCAGAGAAAAAACTAGTCTTTCCAACTGAAGACATATTATGCATGGTGAGTAATTATCTTTCCAACTGAAGATATATTTTGCATGGTGAGTATTTAAATAATCAAAGTACATAAACCCTCTGAGTCTCTGTCTAGCAAAACATGTATTTTGAAAAAGGATGATCCGTTGGTTCAACCTTAGAAAGTTTCTGTCATTCGTTTGGTTTGATGCTTTTAAATCTGTATAAATGAAAGGCAATTATAGGCATGGTGAATACTTTATTGAAAAAAAACTATATTAAAATAAATTAAATTTCTTTAATTTGTTTTATTGTTAACATAAAAATTGTATTCATTTTTTATTGATCTTACTCATTAGAAACATAATTCCTATACTTTTTACCATGCCCTATCTCTCTCGTTATCTTCTTTCTTGTTTTGTTACAACTGGGAATGCTTTCAAAATATAAGTCAAAAAAGACAAACAATAGTTCGCAAACATTATACACAAAGTAAAAGCTTGAGCAAAACAAACCCCACCAAAAATGTGGTTCCCCGAAGAGTGAGAGTCTCTGCTCAACCAGTGGTATCCGTCGTGTCGATTAAACTAGTCAAAATTCAGTCGTCTTTATGAGAACAGTTTGTACAAATGTACGTACATACTTACGTATTCGTACAAGTTGTAAGTCTGTTGTACGTCCAGACTAACGTACATGTACATTTTGTACATCCAAACTAACGTATTAGCATATTTTACCGACAGTGCGAGACCCTCGTGTGTAGTCAAGGTCGTTAAACACCCCCTACTAGTAGTAACACATTTTGTACGTCCAGACTAACGTATTAGCACATTTTACCGACCGCGCGTGCGAGACCCTCGTGTGTAGTCAAGGTCGTTAAACACCCCCTACTAGTAGGAACACATTTTGTACGTCCAGACTAACGTATTAGCACATTTTACCGACAGTGCGAGACCCTCGTGTGTAGTCAAGGTCGTTAAACACCCCCTACTAGTAGGAACACATTTTGTACGTCCAGACTAACGTATTAGCACATTTTACCGACAGTGCGAGACCCTCGTGTGTAGTCAAGGTCGTTAAACACCCCCTACTAGTAGGAACACATTTTGTACGTCCAGACTAACGTATTAACACATTTTACCGACAGTGCGAGACCCTCGTGTGTAGTCAAGGTCGTTAAACAACCCCTACTAGTAGTAACACATTTTGTACGTCCAGAATAACGTATTAGCACATTTTACCGACCGCGCGTGCGAGACCCTCGTGTGAAGTCAATGTCGTTAAACACCCCCTACTAGTGGGAACACATTTTGTACGTCCAGACTAACGTATCAGCACATTTTACCGACCGTGCGAGACCCTCGTGTGTAGTCAAGGTCGTTAAACACCCCCTACTAGTGGTAACACATTTTGTACGTCCAGAATAACGTATTAGCACATTTTTACCGACCGTGCGAGACCCTCGTGTGTAGTCAAGGTCGTTAAACACCCCCTACTAGTAGTAACACATTTTGTAAATCCAGACTAACGTATTAGCACATTTTAACGACCGTGCGAGACCCTCGTGTGTAGTCAAGGTCGTTAAACACTCCTATTAGTAGTAACACATTTTGTACGTCCAGACAAACGTATCAGTACTTTTTACCGACCGTGCGAGACCCTCATGGGTAGTCATGGTTGTTAAACACCCCCTAGTATTAGCACTTTTTGTACGTCCAGACTAACGTATTAGTACATTTTATAACTGATAGCAATGCGTTTCTTGCTTCTGTTGCCTTTCAAGCAAAACATTCAAAATATATCTGTTCTTAAAACCCAATGGCAAACATTTCATTCATATTTCTTAAAACAAGAGTCCATGTTGGGTGAAATCATAGCTCTCTCTTTCTCTCTTTCTCTCTGTAAAGTTTTGTGGGCCATGATTTGATATTCTGTATTTTCATTTGATTGTTTTGTTTTATTTTGTTTGTTTTGTTGTATTCCTTTAATCTTTTTGTTTGTTTGTTTTATTGGGGGGGGACTATTTAGTCCGACCTTGTTTTGTAACATCAAACTATTCATTTACCAATGTACTTTTGAACGATGAGTTTTGCATTTTATTTACTAGTATTATTGTTTTATTTTAAATTGATAAGCTGTCGAACTGAACAAATACCTGTTTCGCAGGAGGAAATCTTTGTCATTGCATAACAGCTTAGGAAATCATGTATGGACTGTTAAAAATATAATAACAACAAAAAACAATCAATAAAATCAATTGAAAGTTGTTTTCAAAGGGAATTAAATCTTAAAACGGTCATAACATGTTTATTTTTAAAAGAGATTTTCTACATTATTACTAATAATACATTGCAACTGTTCGTCAGATATTTCATTACGCAATACTCCGTCTACATAAAATCAGTCTTGCGATTTTAAGGAATTCCGAAAAGCATTGTAAAACATAGGTTTTAAAACGATTTATAAAACACCATCTTCATATTACCAGTTTTTTTTTTATCTCTCGTTTTGAAAGATTTAACTATTATATGGAAAGCAACCTTGTGCAAATGAAAATCAATACATCTGTTAACCTATTTCGGGTTGAAAAAATCTCAATGCAAAGTCTATATCTGTTTGAATAATAAGTTGATATAAGAACCCTACAAAACAGACCAAACTGCATCTCTAAATTTATTTCGTATTTGAATGTTCCAAAATCAAATCAAAGTATTATACATGTGCATGTATACGTACACTTGCATACGGTCGATTTCAATCCGACGCAGCTCATATTTTACCAGTTTTTCTTTTTTAAAGTTAATATTTGTAGGAAGACAGTTTTTAGAATTAGATAATATTTTCTAATAGAAGAAGAAAGTGATTTTGATATCAAGTAAATTGCGATGGATTTAATATTTCGTCTTAACATCATTGGGTATTCTTGAAGTCGTTGATTTTGATTTCTAAATATATTTAAGGAACTATCTCGATTTCCTTATACTAAAATTGAATTGAATGTTAAGTGTACTCTAATGAATTCATGAACACTTTTTTTATTTAACGTCGGTATAAATGAATACACATATAATCTTCTCCATAAATACTTCATTTTTTAGAGGTTGGATTTTATTGATGTGTTAGAGAATAAACAATCGATGGAAACCCCTTTTGCAATCTCTTTTTTTTTTAAACAACTACTTTGATTTCGACAATAGTGACCATGTTCGAACAATGCTCCATGTAAAACTTTGCAGTTTGCAGTTTGGATTTTGAATTTATTAATTTTCCCCAATATCAACAGGAATATACTATCATCATTTACATATGTAGTATATGTACCTCAATTGATTTGATATTCTAGAGCAGTGGCTGTACAACTAAAAAATAATAAGAAACTGAATAACGGCTTTGTCTGAACGTTAAATCCTGTTTTTAGATTAGTTTATTGAAAAGTGATCGAAGCGATGAACAAGTACTTAAATAGATTGTAGATGGCATTAAAATGAACATGAGATGAAAACGGCGATGGGACACAAACAATAAAATGAAACCTTACTACCGAAGGAATTATCTGGAGTTAGATAGGGTCTGAAAATGTAGCCGCAGCCCCCTATAGCCCCCCTATAGCTAGTTTTACACAGAATTGATACTTCTGCTTTTTAGCTCACCTGGGCCCGAAGGGTCCCATGTGAGCTTATGCAATCACATGGCGTCCGTCGTCGTCCGTCGTTTGGCGTCGTCGTCTATCATCGTCGTCGTCTGTCGTCGTAAACTATTTCAAAAATCTTCTCCTCTGAAACTACCGGGCCAAATACCTTCAAACTTCAACTAAATGTTCCTTAGGGTATCTAGTTTATAAATTGTATCCGAAGTTTTGATCCATCGACAAACATGGCCGCCATGGCTAAAATAGAACATAGGGGTCAAATGCAGTTTTTGGCTTATATCTCAAAAACTAAAACTTTTAGAACAAATCTGACAGGGGTAAAACTGTTCATTTGGTCAAGAGCAATAATGTTCAGCAAAGTAAGATCTACAAAAAAGTTAATATGACCATAATTGTCAATTGACCCCTTAATGAGTTATTGCCCTTTAAAGACAATTTTACACAATTTGTTCATCAAGTTTGCTAACATTTAAAAATCTTCTCCTCTGAAACTACTGGGCCAATTACCTTCAAACTTTAACTAAATGTTCCTTAGGATATCTTGTTTATAAATTGTATCCGAAGTTTGTATCCAACAAAACAAACATGGCCGCCATGGCTAAAAATAGAACATAAGGGTCAAATGCAGTTTTTGGCTTATATCTCAAAAACTAAATCTTATAGAGCAAATGTGACATGGGTTAAAATTGTTTAATTGGCCAAGATCTATCGGCCCTGAAATTATCAGACGAATCGAACAACCCATTGTTGGGTTGCTGCCACCGAATTGGTAGTTTTAACAAAATTTTGCAGTTTTTTGTTATTATTTTGAATATTACTATAGATATATGTAAACTGTAAGCAGCAATAATGTTCAGCAAAGTAAGATCTACAAAAAAGTTAATATGACCAAAATTGTCAATTGACCCCTTAAGGAGTCATTGCCCTTTAAAGACAATTTTACACAATTTGTTCATCAAGTTTGCTAAAATTTAAAAATCTTCTCCTCTGAAATATAGGTGAGCGATTCAGGCTCTTGAGAGCCTCTTGTTGTTAGTTATTTGTCAGTCCGTATAGTTGTTTTGTTCCTCCATTTCTCTCGTTCATGTATTGTTCACCGGACTTCGACTTTCTGAATTTCTCTTTAACATAGTTCTTAAAAAATATTAAAAAAAGGAAATGAATGAATTTGTTTACATCTTACTATATAAAAATATTCTAATAATATCTTTCACTTTTACGACATGGTGTCTTTATAACAGTGTGAACGTGTGTGTTGGAGAGGGGCGCTCTTAAAACTGGTTCAATCCCACCATAAAGTATGCTTTACCAAGTCATGATATCTGGACCATGCGTTGTTGGTTCAATTCCATCACAAAGTATGCTTTACCAAATGATGATATCTGGACCATGTGTTGTTGGCTAAATCCCACCAAAAAGTATCCTTTACCAAGTCATGATATCTGGACCATGTGTTGTTGGCTCAATCCAACCAAAAAGTATTCTTTACCAAGTCATGATATCTGGACCAAGTGTTGTTGGTTCAATCCCACCAAAAAGTATGCTTTACCAAGTCATCATATCTGGACCATGTGTTGTTGGTTCAATCCCACCACAAAGTATCCTTTACCAAGTCAAGAGATGATTTTTCATTTCCTATTGTTAATTATCCATTTTTAGATGGTGACGTTCCCTTGTCACCATCTTATGGTGTTTATATATCTCAACTTGTTCGATTCGCTCGTGTATGTAACAACGTATTTGATTTCAACGAAAGAAATCTCTGTATTACTGAAAAATTATTACACCAGGGTTTTCGATATCACAAACTAGTCAAAACATTTACTAAACTTATCATCGGTACAAGGACATCATGCGTAAATATCAATCAACATACAGACATCTTATACGTTCAGGTATTTCACATCCACTATTTTATGGCAATATTCTTTACAAAGTACAAAAATGTCGGCATTCACCGCAAAAGCTAACCAAACTTTTAAACAGACTTATTCGGGAAGGATATAGTTACGATACTGTTGTCAAGGCATTAAGGATTGCATATTTTGGTATTAATATTGATTCACTCATAGGGTCTTTGCATCGGAAATAAACACATTCATTCTAAAACCAGTTGTTGGCATGATACGGGTTATGTTCTTCTCATATATTTTATGATGGTATGATACTAAACCCCTAACGGGAGGGATTGTACTTGATTTTCATATGATGAAGACATAATCTTTCAATCAGTAAACTTTAGGTCTGGAGCTGGCATGTCAGTAACTGCTAGTAGTCCTTTGTTCATTTATGTACCATTGTCATTTTGCTTAGTTTCTTTTGTTACCTATTCTGACATCGGACTCGGACTTCTTTTAAACTGAGTTTTACTGTGCGTATTGCTATGTGTTTCTTTATTCTACATTGGCTAGAGGTATAGGGAGAAGGTTGAGATCTCACAAAACATATTAAACCCCGCCGCATTTTTGCGCCTGTCCCAAGTCACGAGCCTCCGGCCTTTGTTAGTCTTGTACGTTTTTTTTCAATTTCAGTTCATTTATATGTTTTGGAGTTTAGTGTGACGTTCATTTTCACTGAACTAGTACACAAGTTTATTTAAGGGCCAGCTGAGGACCACCTCCGGGTGCGGGATTTTCTCGCTGAGTTGAATACCCATTGGTGGCCTTCGGCTGTTGTCTGCTCTTTGGTCGGGTTGTTGTTTCTTTGACATATTCCCCATTTCCATTCTCAATTTTATGATATCTGGACCATGTGTTGTTGGTTCAATCCCACCACAAAGTATGCTTTACCAAGTGATGATATCTAGACCATGTGTTGTTGGTTCAATCCCACCACAAAGTATCCTTTACCAAGTCATCATATCTGGACCATGCGTTGTTGGTTCAATCCCACCACAAAGTATGCTTTACCAAGTCATGATATCTAGATCATGTTTTGTTGGTTCAATCCCAACACAAAGTATCCTTTACCAAGTCATCAAATCTGGACCATGTGTTGTTGGTTCAATCCCACCACAAAGTATTCTTTACCAAGTCATGATATCTGGACCATGTGTTGTTGGTTCAATCCCACCACAAAGTATCTTTTACCAAGTGATGATATCTGAACCATGTGTTGTTGGTTCAATTCCACCACAAAGTATCCTTTACCAAGTCATGATATATAGACCATGTGTTGTTGGTTCAATCCCACCACAAAGTATGCTTTACCAAGTGATGATATCTAGACCATGTGTTGTTGGTTCAATCCCACCACAAAGTATGCTTAACCAAGTGATGATATCTAGACCATGTGTTGTTGGTTCAATCCCACCACAAAGTATCCTTTATCAAGTGATGATATCTGGACCATGTGTTGTTGGTTCAATCCCACCACAAAGTATGCTTTACCAAGTCATGATATCTGGACCATCTGTTTTTGTTGTTTTTCCTTTGCACTTGTTTTTTGTAGGAAGAGTCAGATGGTGAATATTTTTCTGGTCTATTTTGTCTGTTGAATATTTGTCTGGTCTATTTTGTCTGTTGAATATTTGTCTGGTCTATTTTGTCTGTTGAATATTTGTCTGGTCTATTTTGTCTGTTGAAAATGTTTAGTTAAACTGTGTATGGGTACAATTACACCATAACACGAGAGAAAGTAAGTCAGTACATTTGTATATCACAGAGTTCTCAAGCCATTCTGTTGAAGGCCGTACGGTGACCTATAGTTGTTAACTTTTATGTCATTTGGTCTCTGGTGGAGAGTTGTTTCATTGGCAAGCATACCACATCTTCTTATTTATATATATGTCAATAAAAACAGGTATGGAGTGTACATCAATGAAACGGCAGCTAAATGACTAAAATAATCAAAATACATAAAATGTAATGTTATAAATTTCAGAAACCACCTCGCTATTCACCGAGTTACAGAAATCCATGTTGGTATCCAGATGAATCGGATAAGCTGTCCTGTCTTCCGTATTTCCTCCAGATCGGGATGTCCAAATGTGCTACTACGGATTTGTTTACCAGATTGATTCTACATCCTGATATCATCCCTATAAGCGGTGCTAATGGTAAAAACAAATCAATCACATGGTGGAACCTAAGGTTAACAGGTAATGTCTAGAAGTATTAGTTAGCCGGATAGTAAGGACACCACGTGGTGAAACCTAAGGTTAACAGGTAATGTCTAGAAGTATAATTTAGTCGCATTGAAAGAAATACACCGATACTATATTTTGATGTGCACAACTTTAGCCTGGGATCCTGTCCCATTCTTTGCTTTACGTCGGTAGGTCAGCGCAGTGAGTCAGGATCCAGACTAAGTTACACCATACATGATATAATCTATGCCACAAGTTGTAAAGGCCAAATATGAATAACTAGAAATACAAATAAATAAGAACCGATGTTACTGAAATAGTGTAGAACCGATGATACTGAAATAGTGTAGAACCGATGTTACTGAAATAGTGTAGAACGATGTTACTGAAATAGTGTAGAACGATGTTACTGAAATAGTGTAGAACCGATGTTACTGAAATAGTGTAGAACCGATGTTACTGAAATAGTGTAGAACGATGTTACTGAAATAGTATAGAACCGATGTTACTGAAATAGTGTAGAACCGATGTTACGGAAATAGTGTAGAAGGATGTTACTGAAATAGTGTAGAACGATGTAACTGAAATAGTGTAGAACCGATGATACTGAAATAGTGTAGAACGATATTACTGAAATAGTGTAGAACCGATGTTACTGAAATAGAGTAGAACGATGTTACTGAAATAGTGTAGAACCGATGTTACTGAAATGGTGTAGAACCGATGTTACTGAAATAGTGTAGAACGATGTTACTGAAATAGTGTAGAACTGTATAATTTAGAAACAGTGGAATTTAACTGACAGTTAATATAATAATCGCTGCTAACTGTAGTATAAAAATATCCCTTGCTAAAATCCACTGTTTCTAAATAATACAGTTCTACAGTATTTTCTATTTTGTTGCTGATCTATTTCATTTGGCATGATGTTGATTGATAATGTTTTCAACGAGCCGTCAAAATTTTTATTTTATACTGAATTAGATCAATGTCACATTTTGTTTTAAAATGAAACCTTTTCCTTCTAGTGTAACGTCAATAGTCGCTTAGCTATTTTAAAAAGGCATTCAACAAGTCAATCGCTATGATCTTTAATTCAAGTTTCCAAACGTTTTTTTCTTGAGATAAAAATATTTTAAACAGATGACTCAGAAATCCTTTTTATTTTTGTCTACAATTTTATATAAAACAGTTAGATCTGAAATTTTGAAATTTTATCACTGTTAACGTTTTTAAAATGCTATATTAATTGTTTTTATATATAAATATGAATATATAAACCATTTATAAATAAATTGACAACATTTAATAGATCATTGTGTGCAACAATTACGTTGACTGATACCATACGTCAGATGTGAAATGTAGTTTTATGCGCATCTGTTCAATTTATTTTATTCTATCAATCTTTACAAATGTACTAATTTCCATAAAATAATAGTTTTTGTACAAAAACAAACATCACGTTTATTTGTTTTTTATGTAATTACGTAGGAAGCACATGGCAGCCGCCATACAGTGGAGGAAAGCGTGAGAACTTTAAGCAATACTCCGAGTATTTCTCAAATGCAGCAAAAGTGATAGAGACGAATAAAGATCAAACTGGATATCATGGGAAAATAACAGGTAACCTTTCAAAAAAACATCATGGCAGCATATGTTATCTATATATCATCTATATAACAGTGTCATTGTTACATGAAGTGCTTCATTAGACTGTCTGCGTGTTCTGTTTTGTGGCTTAGATATAGAAGTTTTCTGTATTAACTGTTTATTCGGGTCCCTTTGCATTTTTATATCCCATTGTAATTTGACAATAGGTTATTTATTCAGGCCCCTTTGCATTTTTATATCCCTTTGTAATTTGACAATAGGTGAATTCCAAACGAAAGTTATTTCAGTAATATGGATTTAACAAAGTTAAAGGGGCAGAAGCTACGAGATATAAAAAAAAAATATGATTTTTGTTTTGTTCAATATTTAATGAAAGTGAAATAGTGAAATAATTATTCGCTTTTAGCAGCCAGTTTAGTTCAATTTTGTCAAAATAGGCTGAGAAACATCGTTGATGAATTATTCACATGAAAGTGAATAATTCGACCTCATTGAATCCGTATTCATGTGACCTTCAATTTAACCCATTGGCTAGAGATTGGTTACGCATGTATTATTCGTGTTCAGCCATTAAAAGGAAAAGAATGTCAACATTGAAAATGAAACAAAGGTGAACCATTTCGTTGACTTATTCGATCTACAAAAAAATCTTTCTTATACAGGTAAAAACGATGATTAACTTATTTTTTAACCTATAGCATGAAATCAAACAGACCTAGAAAATTCCAATTGCACGAGGTCGCTATCTATTTATATTTATGTTTATATCGGGTTATGTGACCGTCGGCAGTCTTCGGAGGTCATCTCGATGGTTAATTGGATGGCGTCTAGACTAAAATACACACGAAACGCTGATATATTTTATCGAGTCCATGCATTATTAATTGTTATTTCAGACTTAATGTAGTTTAGATATAGGTTTTAGTATGTTATAAATCAAGTATGAGAATTTTAGTTAAATCGGTGAACATGAATTTGACAGCTAATGCCCCTTTTTACTACCATTGGGTTGATAAGTCGACTGAAGGGCCGTAAGTCCCGAGAATCTAAATGCACAGTAGTCATTGTTTCTGCATATTATGTGATCTATACATTAAGTACTTTTATTCATTCAATGATAATTTTTCCCGTTGCCATTGCCTAATGCAAATTTGACCTTAGATATTAAGCTATAGGTTTAGAATCATTTTTGTTTCACGGCTCCCATATATTTATACATTTCAATAAAAAAATATTACTTACGGTAGACATTATTCCTATCAGAACGTCTGTTATCTTGGAATTACACCGTAGAAAACAAATGCATGTCTCTGTTTAAATTGGTCAGCTAAACCAAAACAAAACTAGTGCTATTCCTGCAACTGTACTTTTATACTTTATTCATTTGTATTTAGGAGAAGGGTCACCGACCTATTTATGGATGCTGTATTTATGGAACCGTATCCCACAAAATACCTACCTAACAAAACCTAAAGTCTTGGTTCCACATCTAATCCGACATGTCCTCCCTAAGACAAAGTTCATTGTCACATTACGAGACCCTATAGAAAGGTAAGTTTACAACTAAAACAACTTCCTCAGGAAAAGTTGAACTTATCTTGATTTGGCTATTATTTTTATGCACTTTTGGTGATTGAGCTCGTCGATTCTTATATATCCTTCAAGTTGGCTTTCAAATATTCAGCTTTGAGCTTTCCTAATGAAGGTAAATCCAGAAAAGTGCTTCGGACGCATGACATTCATAAAGTGTTGGGGTTTTTTTTTAACATTTTTTACAAGTTATAACATTTTTAAAAATGGAAAGATTTATATGTCAACAGAAAAGTCAGCAAACGTGCTAAGCATGAGGTTTATAATCCCTGATAATCGGACTAACTAATCTTCGTTATGCTATTGGTATACTTTTTTTAGGAGGCACGTGACTTGTAGAGTACTAAATGATTTATAACCGATGTGATAGTAACTATTTTGTATTTTATCAAGCTGTTTATATACCTGTAATGAATTAAGAAATTAGTAGGAACTATGGTCTAACTCCCTTAGGCAAAGATGAAATTAGATGAATTTTGCTTTCCGGTTTGCATTTACTGCACGCTTGAAAGTGACATGTATTTAAAGTCAAATTATGTGATTTGTAAGTTTGCCATCATCTTTTTTTTTTCAGAATGTATTCAAGTTACCATTTTTTCAACAAAGATAAAAAGTATGATAAATTTGCTTTCCACGAGACAATGCAGTTTGCTATTGAAAAATTCATGGAATGTAAAGCTATGAAAGGTGACAGACAGTGTGTCCTAGATCCTGACCTCCGTGCAACAATCTCTAGAAAGGTAAGATGAATTGTCTTGAACTCTGACCAATGCTATGTGCCATCAATCCTGACCTAAGTGCAACAATTATCAACGATTATTAATATCAAATTCTCCTTTTATTATTTGTCTTTTTAGTTTGGTGAAGATATTAATGAACATTGTTATTATTTATTAAAATGATTTGTCAAAGTCTTAATTTTGTTCTTATTTCCGATAGTAAAATGTACTTGTTCTATTAAATTTTCTCATATCTAGAGAAAAGATATAGCAAGTGTTCTAGCTTGCTTGGACATGAGCTTCCGCAAGATCGTTGTTGCAGATTGAAGTTCTATAGACAAAGGTCTTATCAAAATAGGAACTGGGTTACAACTACAACTTCTATTGTTTCAAAATTAAGGCGTCGTTATGTAATTGGGCGGCATTTCAGATTTTGAACGTATTTGGAGCACACGTACGTTGAACTACATTTTATATCTAAAAGGTGAAATATTTACTACTATAATTCAGATCAAAGATTTGTGAAAAGGATCTATAAGTGAATAGAATGTACATAAAAAGCATCCATACAAATCAATTCTATTCCTTTTTTAATTTGAATTTCTCGAAATTGCGTCCACAGATTTACACGGATACGCTTTATTTACTGCAATATTGGTGTTCAAGTTTTTTCCTGCATCACCCAACTTTATATTTAGTGATTAAGACGGGGGAAAAAGAATCTGGTGATCCCCTTATATTTTCACAGCATTTAAGCGAAAATGAGCACTGCGATTACACCAATTTCAAATAAAATCCTTCCACGATGTTACGCAATTAAAACTGCAGTATTCGTCGTTTTTTTTCATCCACATCAACATTCTATACATTTTTGGTTTCTTTTTTTTTTTGTAATTATCTAAATTAATTGTATCTCTAGAATCTACATATCAATGCTGCATATACCTTTTTTTATATGCATATGTAGTTCAATTAGTTAAATCCGAAATATTGTATAAATATGTTTACACTGTCTTAGTTAAAGTCAGGTTGTCAGATGATACATAAGTATAAAAAAGAAGATGTGGTATGATTGCCAATGAGACAACTCTCCATATGAGACCAAATGACACAGACATTAACAACTATAGGTTACCGTACGGCTTTCAACAATGAGCAAAGCCCATACCGCACAGTCAGCTATAAAAGGCCCCGAAATGACAATGTAAAACAATTCAAACGAGAAAACTAACGGCCTAATATATGTACAAAAAATGATCGAATAACAAATATGTAACACATAAACAAACGACAACCACTGAATTACAGGCTCCTGACTTGGGACAGGCACATACATACAGAATGTAGCGGGGTTAAACATGTTAGCGGGATCCCAACCCTCCCCCTAACCTGGGACAATGGTGTAACAGTACAACATAAGAACGAACTATAAAAATCAGTTGAAAGAGGCTTAACTCATCAGATGGATAAAAATACAAATATTACAAATACAAGTGGACGTGGCCGGGTACTTGTACATCCAAACAACAAAAAGACACTTAGTACAGAGTACTCGCAGTTACTGACAGCTAGTTCAAAGCCACTAACAACTAATAAAAAAAATTCATGCATCTAAGACTAAATTAACAATCCGTACACATCCAATGGATTTAGTGTAAAGACGTCATAAACAGTCAGAGAAAAACATGACCTTGTGCAATGCCAAGATACAGGTATCGACAGATTGTAGATCCATGAATGTGTATATGTATATAACAATAATATTTAGTTTGCTTTTAATTTACTGATTTGTCAACAGTAGTTTAGTTTGTCATTTCATCAAGTATATCAAGAACATTTCGTAGTGTTTCAACAACCAAGCTTAACTATTGGTTTGTGATGTGCATCAAGTTTCTTCTAGTTTGTAGGAATCGTTTGTCCCGGTAGAATAGACATTTCTCTTGATCATACATCAAATAAATTCAACGGCGACTTGGCCTTCATTTTTCATAGCACGGTGATTTTTCCTAGAATTGCCATAAAAATCTGACAACTGTTAACACTGACAAAATTTAGGTAGTATGCCCGACAGTTCACAAAAATAATACTTCGCGTTTGGAAGGTCTTGACAGCATCAAGTGTCCAGTATCAAGACGAGACATTATTTTTGTTTGTTTCTATTTCTCTCTTGTATTATTTTTTGGTGGGCCGGCACTAGGAGACAACTGCCTACATGCCTCCACATAATTTACGGCCAAACCTTGAGGTTTAGCTAGCTATAAAACCAGATTTAATCCATCATTTTTCTACGTAAGGAAATGCCTGTACCAAGTCAGGAATGTGACAGTTGTTTTTCATTCGTTTGATGTGTTTGAGCTTTTGATTTTGCCCTTGGATGAAGGGCTTTCCGTTTTGAATTTTCCTTGGAGTTCGGTATTTTTGCTATTTTACTTTTTTCTATGTAGACAAAAAATAATACTATGTGCAATCAATCGTGACCTTAGGGGCTCTTTGTCGTTAAAGGTGACCGGAATCTGAGTTATCTTTTATTTGAAAGGGAGGGATAAACCCTTTTGAATGGGAATTTACTTGTATCATTTGAAGCGTTAAATGTCCTTTGACATAAGAAATATGTACGACTTAAGGTGGGATTAGCAATGATTCGAAAGATTTATATATGATAAAGGGTAGTTAATTACTACGAAAGAATTAAGACATATATACGAGTTAAGGTGGGATTAGCAATGATTCGAAAGTTTTATATATGATAAAGGGTAGTTAGTTACTGCGAAAGAATTAAGACATATATACGAGTTAAAGTATTAGCAATGATTTGAAAGATTTATATATGATAAAGGGTAGTTAGTTACTACGAAAGAATTAAGACATATATACGAGTTTAGGGGGGATTAGCAATGATTCGAAAGATTTATATATAATAAAGGGCAGTTAGTACTACGACAGTACAGATAAAATGTATGGAAGTAATGATCAAAACAATTTAATCCGTTTGGTTCGGTAAAAAATTTAATCTGTAAGGTTCAATAAATTTAATCCGTAGGATTCGATAAACAATTTAATCCGTAGGGTTCGATAAACAATTTAATCCGTAGGCTTCGATAAACAATTTAATCCGCAGTGTTAGATAAACAATTTAATCCGCAGGGTTCGATACACAATTTAATCCGTAGGGTTAAATAAACAATTTAGACTGTAAGGTTCAATACGTAGGGTTCAATAAACAATTTTGTACGTAGGGTTCGATAAACAATTTAATCCGCAGGGTTCAATAAACAATGTAATCCGTAGGGTTCGATAAACAATTTAATCCGCAGGGTTCTATAAAAATTTAATCCGTAGGGTTCGATAAACAATTTTATACGTAGGGTTCGATAAACAATTTTATACGTAGGGTTCGACAAACAATTTAATTCGTAAGGTTCAATACGTAGGGTTCAATAACTAATTTTATTCGTAGGGTTCGACAAACAATTTAACCCGTAGGGTTCAATAAACAATTTAATCCGTAAGGTTCAATACGTAGGGTTCAATAAACAATTTAATCCGTAGGGTTCAATAAACAATTTAATCCGTTGGGTTCGATAAACCATTTAATCTGTAGGGTTCAATAGTAAACCCCATCGTCGTTCTTGCACAACACACACAAATTAATGACCTAAGTAAAAAACACGTCATACTTTATTGAATATGTATATTGTCCTATATTAATGAAAAGTTCGATATGACTTACAATGTTCATGCCTGACTTTTGCAGGTTTAAAAACCATCTTCTATCTGTATTAGAATTAAAAGCAACTTGTGTATTATTACATGATACCTTTCTTTAGCTAAGCCAAGTAATTGTTTTACAGGTGCGGTTACTGAACAGCATGTATTACTTGTACATTAAAGAATGGCTTGATGTATTTCCAAGACAACAATTTATATTCATAAAAATGGAAGAATATGTTACCAACAAAGAGGAAGTGTTAAACAGAATATTCAAATTTCTCGGACTGTGTGAGTCATAATCAAATATTTTATTTAATTTGAAATCGAAAGTAAACGTGTTTTACATAATCAAATATGCATACAGCAGCAGTGTAAATAGAAGTGGGTTTGGAGTGAGGCAGTAAAATAAAACCAATACAAAATATTACAATACCGGCAAGAAAGATAATTAGAGGAATAAACCAAGAATTATTTTATCTCACATATATTGTAGGTCTAGGGTAAGGACAGACAGAAAGTAATGAAAACGCTACTTTTGATATCCATCCCATTCTAAATGTACCAGAAAGAAAATGCACCAAGTACAGTAAGGATAAAGGCGCTAACAAGGACGTAGGCACGCGAGGACACCCAACATTTCTATTTCACCCCCTCCTTGTCGCGGCGGTGACATTAGAAAATTTAAGATTTTTTTTATTAGTTATAGCTGTACTTCTGAATCATGTGAATATGTAGCTTTCTTTAAATGTAGCTTGTAATCACCTAGAACTAGTTAAGAATTTAAAAACATATCTGGTCCTCAAAGTTACACTTCATGATAATCACATGCTAACCCTCAATTCAGAGATTGAACTTTGAACTGTATTTCTGAACGTTTAATTACTAATAACGACTATTTTGTAGCCACGTTGTCACCAACAGAAATGAAGAAATATGGGTTATTGTTTACAACAATCAAGAACAAGACAAAGGGAGGCAAGCAGTACGAACCAATGTTAAATGCAACGAGAGAAATGTTGTACAGTCTTTACGATCCGTACACCAAAATGTTACCACAACTACTGAACGACCCCTCTTTCACCTGGTCAAAGGTGTCTTATGAGGAATATGTTCAACGAATGCTGAGGAAAAAGGTGGCTAGCTAATTCTTTGAAAACGCATAAATATATTTATTAATAGAATAAATTCATAAACAATGTTAGTCTGCTTAATTATTTGTAATTCTAAGAAATATTAGAATATCAAATATGCATTACTTCCGGTACCACAGTCAACATATTTTTAGTTTTAAGAAACAAACTATTTCATATGCATTATTTCCGGTACCACAGCTTAAATGTAAGAGAACAGTAGTCTACCGTAGTTCAAATCGCATAAATCGATCAAAAAGACAATTAATCTGAGGAATCGCATGAACCCCAAAAGGAGCGAGACTTGATGTGTCGACAGTGTAAGTGTCTCATGCTATGCATGTGTAAAGACAAAATATTAGTACAAAACGTGTACCAAACGCCATGAAACTGTATAATACTGTACGTATTTAAATACGAATTAAAGAATTGGAATATCTACACGTATGTAACATTTAATTTAACAATACTATTTGACAAAAAGGCACAAGTCTGTATTGCAGCGCCAAAAAGATGATAGGCACAAACAACCGTTTTATAGCTAACAATAGGCTTTTAGCCGACACTAAAAACAATGCTTACATTGAAAAAAAGTATAATACTAAAAAGAAGATGCGCATTGGAAGTTTTTTTCTTCTTTTTTTTTTATTTAAACGTCAATTTGTGAGGAAAAACATCCTGATTTAACAAAATGTAACTTTTATAATTTTTTGTTTGTTTTGTATTTGATGGGTTTTTACAGTGATGATAACTAAATGATATATGAATATAAAATATTTTATTATAGTTATCACAACTCTATGGTTATTACTAGGTACATGTTTACAATACAGATGATGAGGTGTAAGAATTATACGAACGAAAAAAATAATCTCATGTAGCTTCATTTGAAAAGACTGTTTCCATAGTTTAAAAAAAAATCGTTTTAAAATTTTGGATTACAAAATGGGATTGCCTGATATGAGTAACAATCTCACAAGTTTTGAGATACTGTTTGATCAGTTGATATAATGGACTTGACTAAGTAACAATCTCGCAAGTTTTGAGATACTTTTTGATCAGTTGATATGATGGAATTAACTAAGTAACTATCTCACAAAATTTGAGATACCTTTTTGATCAGTTGATATAATGGAATTGACTAAGTAACAATCTCACAAGTTTTGAGATACTTTTTGATCAGTTGATATAATGGAATTGATATAAGTAACAATCTCACAAGTTTTGAGATGCTATTTGATCAGTTGATATTATGCAGTTGACTTAGTAACAGTCTCACAAGTTTTGAGATGCTTTGCGATATATCAGTTGATATAATGGAATTGACTGAGTAAAAGTCTCACAAGTTTTGAGATACTTTGTGATATATCAGTTTATATACTGGAGTTGACTCAGTAACAGTTTCACAAGTTTTGAGATGTTTTGTGACATATCAGTTGATGTAATAAATCAAAACAAAGTTTTAATGAAACCACTGTTATATTCAAACTCTCTTAAGGAAATTACGTGTTTACTGTCGTCCCTCTCCTTTCGTTAGTTTATCATCATGTGTAAAATATGTACAAATTTCAGCATAGTGTTACAAATGTTGGACCAAAACAGTAGTTTTAGGACATGGTATGATACTCATTTATATATCTTTATTCTCATACAGCTAATGAATTACATCAGTACAGAGAAAACAGTTGCATATATACTAAGCATAATATAAATACAGTGATGAGAGAGGCACAATTGAACAAATAACATCTGATATAACAAAACTTAGCCTGGAGGACAAACACGATTATTGAAACATTTGATATAAATACAAAGTGTCTTAAGGATAGCTTTACGTTTACAGGACATTAGTTCTAAAAATTTGATTGCGTTATGTCTGTTAGTAAAATGAAGTTTAATATATTTATGGCGTTTTGGGCAAAAGCCGTGCATTCAAATATGTAGTGATACTCATCACCAACTTGTCTATTGGTACATAAGCTTCATAAGTTGTTGGTTCTTTCTATATGTTGCCACCGACCACATTCTAATGGCAGTTGTGTATTTGTTGTTCTAAATTTACAAAATAGATCAAAGACTCAAATGGGTTGCGCAGAATGTTTCTAAAACAGAGAAGAATGCTCTATACCGAACATTTAAAATATTTCTTTTGGGTAAGTTTTGGATTTTCAAATATTTTGCCATAAAACCAGGTTCAACCCACCATTTTTTTCTAAAAATGTCCTGTATCAAGTCAGGAACATGGCAGTTGTTATTAAATAGTTCGTTTTTATGTATGTTGGCGTTTGTTTTTGTTGCACTTCAGTTTTCCTCTTATAGTTGATGTGTTTCCCTCGGTTTTAGTTTGTAACCCGGATTTGTTTTCTCTCAATCGATTTATGACTTTTGAACACCGGTATACTACTGTTGCCTTTATTGGACTCGAGCATCAATGAAGCGAAATTAATTGTGGAAATGCACATCTCGTACAGAAAATTTGTACCGTTTATGTAATAACTACCACTGGGTCGATACCTACAAATTTAATTGATGTTTATTTCCAAATACAGCTCAGTCGCAGTAACTGCGTAACAGGAGCGAAAATACATACATGTTTATATATAGTAATCGAATCGAGGGCAGCAATGTCCGTAACGAATATTTATAGTTAACACATAGAGTATCAAAAAAGAAATAATTGTAAATTTCAAGGATTTATATGCATTTGAAATACGTAAGATTAGATCAACAGTCTTTCTACTTTTTATGTAAAAATGGCCAAATTCATAATTACAGCTATATTACAGTATTTGAGCATATCATACATTTTACTTGTGGATATATTACATAATAATCTGGAATGAATTTTTTCCTTAAACTCTTTACTTTATCATTATTACATAAACATAAACAATGGAATTCGTCCCCAAGACCAGTCTTGCAGATATGACAATTTCTTCCTTGTCTCGGTATATTTCGCCTTCTACCGGTTCCTATGGAAAATTTAATGTTACAAGTCCGTAAATTGTATTTATCCGTAAATAGTTTTTTAGCACGTAGGTTTGAATTTACCGCGGTTTCTCTCATGCATTTTGCAAACCCCCTTTTTTCAAGCCTCGTTTGAGTGGACCATGCTTTCAAACAGCACTTTTATACATTTCTAAAGGGAAACTCCATACTAAAATTTACGACAAAAGAGACTATTTTTCATTCCCTATTGTCAATTTTCCTTTTTTAGAAGGCGATGTTCCTTTGGCTCCATCATACGGTGTTTATATATCCCAACTCGTTCGTTATGCCCGTGTGTGTAATAACGAACGTAATCAATGCATCACTGGTAAATTATTAAGTCAGGGATTTCGTTACCATAAATTACTTAAAAATTTTACTAAATTCTTTCATAGATACAAAGATTTGATAAGTAAATTTGTCTGTACCTGTAGAAAACTTATTAAAAACGGTATTTCACATCCTAAATTTTACGGTTATATTGTACTTAAAGAGCGGAAATCACTATGAGATCCGTGTAAACTCATCGAACCTTTAAACAAACTTATTAGTAAAGGTTATCTTACCAATGTTGTAATTAGATCTTTGAATATAGTTTACATTGGCACTAATATCGATTTTGTCATCAGCAAATTAAAACTGTAAATCTGTATTCTTTTCAAACGGGATGTATAAAGACACACCCACGTTCATTTTTATCTATTAAGAGGTTAATACTGGTTCTCTGTAACTATTTAAACTTTTATATAGGGAGTGTGGCACGCATGGTCATGGATTTTCTTCAAACTTCACACACTTACTAGTCTTGATGAAACAAACAAAAAATGGCAAAATTTTGGTTGCTAAGCATATCAGTTGCCATAGCAACCTATGACCAGTTTTACCTCTTCTGGATATCTATGATTTTAAGCTGAAAATGGCTATTTTCAACATAATTTTTCATAATAAATGATTAAAAGAAAGAATATTTTTTTATGATTTTATTAAATATATGCATTTTATTAATGTAATTTAATAACTGATATTTTCATATTCATTTTCAATCATAATCACATATACCCCCCTTTTTATGTGGTTTGCATTAGGTAAAACATACCCTTTTGAGGTCATTTTTGAATGCTTACCATAATTTTTTGCGGACACCTGAGTTAAAGTCAACCATCAATTCATAAATACCATAGTCTTATCTTATCAATGATGCGAAAAAGTAATGGGGAAGTATGTCTCATTTTTTTGTTACCATGGATTCAAAATGCTAAGTTTTCATTTTTTCAGAAAAAAATTTTTTGAAAATTTTTGAAAAAAAATGCTTTGAAACCTAATTCTGCAGTCAGAAAAAAATAAATAAATATACAATTTGTAGAAATGATTGTTATCATCAAAATTTCAAAACATATTCATACATAACGGTGTTATAGTTTTAACTGTGTTGTTATGGAAACAATTTCATGATGATACACAAGTTTAAAACAATTTTGAAAAAGTTTCAGTTAGTTTCTTAAATGTGCACAAAAGCAGGAAAACGAAAACACTTATTAAGTTTCACTGTATACACATATGTGTATATATAAATAATTTTGCTGGTATAGTATATCGATAATGGTGTTACCACTTGAATGAAACAAATACAATTTCTCTAATCTGGATAAAAGTGCTTATTATGAAGAAATTTCAGTCTGTTTTCATGATCATGAAAAATGTACAAGAAAAACAATGACTGAATCTAGAAAAAAACAAATAAAATCATTAAAAAAATTCTATATTCAATTATGCAATATTTGCCATTGAATGTGTTGCCATGGAAACAAGCAGTCCATTTGCAAAAATACTGATAAGTGCTAATTTTTACAAATTCGTTTAATGAACTTCGATACATATAGCAAAGAGTGTATACAATTTTGTAAAAAAGAAATGATCGATTAGTTGTGGTTTGCTTTATGTCCAGTGTCAAACATCTCATGCATATTTCAGAAGAGAACAACACCAATAAATTTAATAGGAACATTGTAGGTCCTGTGCTAGTCTACTGACCAAAAAAGTCAATAATTTGAAACAATTCAACACAATAAAAATTAGAA